TAAAAATTTTAAAAGTTTTATACACGAAATACTTACGAAATGGAATTGAAATATTATAGAAACATCTATAAAAATACAAAAACCTATGTATCTAAATAAGCTTATTAGCTAGAAATTTCAAACTTTGTGTCAGTTATTTATTTCGATATTCGATACCTATGTATCGAAACTAGTGATGTACGGTGAGAACTTCATATCGAAAACGCGATTGCCGAAGGTGCCCCGATGCCGAAGGTGCCCCAGTCTCCCCTATATATCCAAAGTGGTGTAATGTATCCTATAGTCGGTCCGATCGGCTATGCCAGAATTATATAATAGCCCTGGTATACGTAGTGCTAAACTCCCAAAGAAAATATTATTTTTGTTGGAAGCATCTTTAAAAAATTCACGATTTAGCTTAAATATTTTTAAAAATGCCATTTAATCATTTAGTAATTTAGAATGGTTTCCAGAATAGGTTAACACACTTTCCACATTAATTTTTTGATAGTTAATAATTTTCTTTTATACATAACTAATCAACAAACACATTCTACAAATCATGCAAAATACATACATACGATGATTTCATATTATTCTTAATAACAAACAAATGATAAACATTTTCATTAAAAAATTGAACAAAATATCACAATACGTTTAAAAATTATTATTCCTTTAACAAGGATTTGGGGAAAACAAATTTATAGTTTTTATAATTTTATATCTAAGTTTTATTTTTTATACTATGGCACTAACTATAGCTACAACACATATAAAACATATAAATATATATATCATATATTTGATTTATTATTTTAATATTATTTATTTTATATCAATTATTATTTTTTATTTATATTATTATTATTAATCTGGGATAATTTTGGCATCATTGAATGTATTACACTTATAAAAATAATACTTTTATTTAATTTCATTTAATACTGTTTTCTATAATTTGATTTAACGGCCAGTCGCATGATGGTAAACGAAATTCTTCGTTAACCTTTGGAGGACCGGCCAATTTGTTAATATATTACTTATAATGATTTATTTTTAATCGCTATATTTTTTGTTTTTAAACTTAACATAATTTTTTTATTTTTAATTATTTTCTTCTTCTTATATTCTCTAAAGGTTATTATGGAAGTTTATCTAGCCTTTGTTTCGTTATAGATTTTTTCTCTGTTTATTCTATTCTGCAGAAACATTTTTTGTTTGGTTTCTTCTTTGTTTATACTTTCTAGGTACTTTTGATTTACTAGGCTTTTGTATTAGTTTTACTTTTTCATTTGTTTCGATATTGTTTAACTATGCTTTTTTCTTAGCTATTGTAAATATAATTTAATAATTTTATGTGTTTTTACTTTATCAATAATAGTAACAAAAAATATTGTTTGTGGTAACAAAAATAATTGTTAACATTATTCTCTCAATCCCTGACTTCTCGTATATTGTTGCCGGTTTTTTGTTGTAACTATATATTTCGGTATTTGATTTCCAATTCCAAACCTTTGGCGGTACAAAACAGTTAGGTTATAAAAAATAGTAAAAAAACGTAGTCTTTGTTTCCAAGGAAGTCAAGTCACAAGTATTAAGTGTTTTTTGTTTATAAACTGTGCGGAATAGTTTCGAAATTTTGCAACAGGAATCCTATTTTTTAATTTATCCAAAGTCGTCTCACAATCCTCTCCTCACATACAAAGGAAGCTCTCAGTATTTCCAACCAAGTGTCACAATTATCTTCCTATTTTACATCTTCTATAAAAATTTTAATCTTACTACTATTTTTTTATTTGAGTAAAAATGTGTATTTATTTTATTACTCATCATAAAATTTCTCAAAATTGATTTTATAAATATTTTCTAAAAATTTGTATTCTCTAAAAAACGTGTTTTAACAATCTATTAGAAATTTTAGTGTACCGCTCTTCTTAGCACAATCCCATGTCCGATTCTTTTTGTAATTTGTTTTAGGTTAAACTGAGTTGCCATATCTATTCTATTTTAAGTAACATAGTTGCATATTAGGTAATGTTGTTTTAGTTTTTTTATAAACACTTTGTATATAAAAATTATTAATTTGACATTTTAAACTAAATCTTATTTATACTTAAACTTATTTTAAATTTATTGTTAAAAACTTAGTGCTTCAAGGAATCTAGAGGGATTGGGGAGGTCGGTTATTAAGCTTGTACATAATAATTTGGGAAGTACGCTTTATACACTCCACAAGTCCATGCCATACCATGTCAAATTTTTGGTAGATTTTATAAACAATGAAACCCCCAATCGTTTCCAAAGTCGCTAAAATATCGAACAATAAGGGTGCAGTAATATGGAGCCTCCCGTATCCTGTGTCAATTTTTAGTATGCTATTATTCTACCCAATGTTATTATATTCTACCAAATGGGAAACCAAAATATAGAGTTGGGCTTCCTAATTACTAACGCTTTACTTTATTTTTCGGTTCGAAACGCAAAAGGAAGTAGGTCATTCATTCAGTTCTATAGTTCCTTTTAGTTCAACTGTTAGATGAACGATTGAGTCAAAAGTTGCCAGATGGAAAAAAAATTAACCTAGTACCGATCGTTTCTGATACGGAATAGTTTCCTAGGCAACGCTTGTTCCGGTACAACACAGCTCTAAAAAATACTAAATTAAAGCTAACAAACTTCTGAAAATACCGAAATTTCGGAGGACAAATATTGATAATTTTTGATAACAGACGAACAGACATGCGTAAATTGTCCTAAAATTTTATTCTAATAAAGAATTCAAATTAAATATGCACTCCACCTTATGGGGAATCAGCCTTCGTGAAAGGACTGGATTATTGCTTCTAAAAGAATACCGTTCATGTATGCTTGGTAGGCCTGATTATCTAGGAGGGATGATTCCGTCGAAAGCACTCAGGAAGGAACTGCATTGACAACATCATGTTGCCTTGCAAGTGTGCCTGAAAAATTACTTCTAAACAATATAACAATGACATAATTAGGGCATGTATAAGTCTCTTCTTTTCATGGTAGGGTAAAAATAAGTCTGTATTTTATATTGCCTTAAGGCATAGTTCGTATCAGCAACTACCATATCAATGTGTAAATCAAGAGATAACTTGTCATAAAATATTACTCCCAAACACACCATATTATGTACAAATGATATATTCACTTCTTTATACTTTAACTGCAGATTGGGTATATCCCTATAGATTGAACTAGAAAACAACATTGCTGTAGTTTTAGACGGGTTTACGTGAAGTCAGGAAGTACAATTTTTAATTACAATAGATTGATGGATCTATAATCACCTGAAAATAGTAATTGCACGTTATCAGCATAAGTGTAAGGAATCACCAATTCTCCCACCACATGTACAAGTCATTTTAAAATCTTATCTTCTAGTTCTATCTGTTAAACCTGCTAGTAACATAGATGGGTTTCTGCCTTTTCGAAATCCAAACTGACAATCACTTTACATTGACTTTTCAATGTATGCCATTATTGATCTCGTAAAATATATTCGACGACTTTAGACAAACCCGGAAGTAAAACAATCGGTCTATATTTAAAACCACGACCTGCGTTGTTTTTCTTCCTAATAGGGTGATTTTTGCTGTCTTCCAACCGCTTGGAAAGGTGGAGATTGATATTATGGAATTGTTGGGATATAAAACAAATCTTGAAGTATATTTCTATAACATTATGGAGATTCCGATCGGTCCCAATGTTTTGTATGCCACAGCGCTTAATAGTTCATTTAAATGAGCGTTTTTTTATAGATCAGTTCTTTCGATTGAACTAGTTCCTTCATCTAGTTCATAGTTCACTATTCAGATCACCATTCATATGGTCCACAGTTTGAGCATAGACAATTCCACCTTTGTTGTACACTTTGTTAAATACTTCGTTCAGTTAATAAAATGAACTTCATACACAGCTCTTTTAAGAGAATCGTTCAATTGAACTTAACAACTCTGCGGCGGGAATAGGTTCTGTCAATCGGCTCTTGTTCACAATGCATTCTGGTAAAATTCTCGCTTGGTTTCTTGTTCCTCTGCGAGAAGATAAAATAGCAGAGACAGATGTGTAATATAGCATTTACGAATTTTTACAGAAAAAAATTACATCAGTATCATAGCCAGATATATACACATAATCTATTATTATATGATATATTATGTGAAGAAGGAACACGTGAATACCGCGGAACATGCTCATAGACGCCAGAATCCATTCCGAGAAAGAACAACTATGGAACACAGCATTACACTTATTAATAGAGAATATTAATCCTGGTACTTGAAAGTAGAACAGTCAAAAGTGTACCTCATGAAAACGTTCTTATTGCTCCAGGAAAAGTTCGCCGACCAATAAATATGATAATTTTCTCTGATTCTGAAGAATTAGCCATTGTCTCTATATATTGCTGCAAGAAAAAAGCGTTCCTGTACGGAAACTTATTTAAAAATCGATCCGGACTCTATGGTAGATGAAATACTGAATCATTATCTTCATAAAAACAGTTGACAACATCGGTATATCCAAGGATTGGGTTTCAAATTTATCATTCTCTGAAAAATCTCGATTGATTCGAAATGATCCAACAACAACAAAACAACTCTTAACCGAAACCGACGGATGATATCCTCCTTTTATTAACTATATCTTGTAATAATTAGCCATAGGTCTATATTACGAGGGATGATATTCTCCCTTAATTATCTATAACTTGTAATAATGTCCCATAGGGTATGAAGCCTTAGTTGAAAAAGCCCAGAAACTAGTTCCGATTACACTTCGCTAGATTTCAATAAGTCTTTAAAAAATCCCCAAAAATTGTGTATGCAAGCTAAATAGCACTACCTCCTCCTAATCCTCTTTGTTCCATGACAGCACTTATTTTGTTGTGATAACTTGAGTAGACACCATTCAATTCGAATTAAATAATTTGATTTTTACAGAACACTATTTTTATAAGGGAATATTAGGGGGGTAGAACATTATACTTAACACTACTTGGTAGATTTGGCTGCCGAGGTGGCAACACTTGTGGCTGTGGCGCTATTTGTAGTTGAAGTTTTGGTTGTCGCTGCTGTAGTGCTGGTGGTGGTTGATGGCTTTGCTGATGTGGTTGAAGCAGTGCTTGTGGTTGTTGATTTTGGCGCTGTTGTGGAACTTGTGGTTGTTGTTTTAGCTGTTGTTGTGGGTGTCTTTGCTGTGATTTGAGATTTTGTGGTTTTGGGAACAGTTGCCGCTGGTGTCGTTTTGGTTATTGCAGTTGTGGCAGGTGTTGTAGATATGCCACCACTTGCCGCTGTGGTGGTGGTAACATTTGTGGTTGTTGATTTTGTTAGGGTTGTAGAAAATGTTGTTGGCTTTTGTATTGTGGTTGTGGAAATGGGTTTATCATTGGATGTTACCACAGATGTTTTGGCAATTTTCGTAGGTGCTGGCTTGGTAACAGCAGCTGCAGTAGCTGAAGTGGTGATGCTGGCTGTGGTCGCGTGAGATATCGTTGCTTTTGCTGAAGTTTGTGGTGTTGTAGTTGTGGCAGCTATTGGCTTGGTGGATGATATTTTATCCGAAACTGTGCTAGCGGATTTTTGTGTTGCTGGTTGTGTCTGCGAAACGGTAACGGAGGAACTGGCCTTGCTACTGGATGTTGCCGGGGTTGTGGAAGAAACGGACGATGTTGTTGTGGTTGCTTGCGATGTTTTGGTGACAGATGGCGTTGCTGTTACTACTTGAGGTTTTGTGGTACCACCTACTGATGCTGATGATTTTGTAGCATTAGCTGTGGTTGGGGTAGTTGCTGTCTTACCTTGGCTAGTGGTGGTGGTGGAGGAAGTAGTTGTTTTACTTGCTAATGTAGAAACAACTTTTGTAGATGTCGCTGCTGTAGTTGTAGATAAGGTAGAGGATGATTTTCCAGTTTCCACATTTGTTGATGGACTTTTTCCAGTCGCCGTTTTTGACGAAGTTGTGGGGGTTACAACTTTACTTGCAGTTGAAGATGATGCCAATGGGACCGGTGTTTTCGTAGAGTCAACTAATGTAGTAGGCCGACCACTGCTAGTGGATACTACCATTGTTGATTTTAATGCTGTGGCCGCTGATGTAACATCCTGACCTAATGTGACCTTTGGCGTTGCTGCACTTGTCACTAACTTATTATTACTCACCCCAACACCTCCTGTTGTGACCTGTTGTTGGCTTGTAGCTAATGTAGCTGGTATTGTAGTTGGTGTAGTGGTAGTGGTGGTGGAAGTTTTCGTAGTTTTAATGGCAGCACTTTTATTAGTTGGATCACTAGGTTTAGCCCCGACAACGGTCGCTTGCAGGGGTTTGGTTACACAATTAGCCACAGCCGCTGATTTTGTTGTCGTTGTAAGGCTTAGATCGGTTGTAGATACAACCTGAGTTTGAATTTTGCTACCACCACCGGGATCGGTTTTGACCACTGTCGGCTTTGTTATCGTCGCAGCCGCCGATGTTATTGGTTTAGCTGCAGTTGTTGTCACGCTGGTTGTGGCAATGCCGATAGAGGCCACTGGTTTTGTGGTTGTTGTTGTCACCGTGGGCACCATGGTCACAGCAAAGGATGTGGTTGACGTGGCCACCATACCACCATTGATCACATGTGTGACCATCGTTGTTGTTGTACTGCCACCAGTAGACGATTTTGTATTAACGATATCGGTTATCGTTGGCTTGGCAGTTGTTGTGGCAAATGTGGTTAAGGTCTTAAGCTCGCGACCACTATCAGCTGTGCCGGCTACCACCAGTTTGGCTGCAGTGCTCGTTGTTGTTGTTGGTATTAAGATTTTCGATTGTGTTGTTATCGATGTTGCCACCGTTGTGGGCAATACTATTGTGGCAGTTACTTTGGTTATTTTATCGCTAATCGTTTCGGTGGCCAGCGGTGTGGTCTTTTCATTGAGGAAAGACACCACACTGTCGTTGGCCCGTAATTCAGCCTGTATCAAAGGCTGTTTGCTGGGACTGATTTCAGGTGGTGGTTTACCGCCACCACCAACACCTCCGCTATCTGAGGGTTTAGCTGACTTTGATTTTAATATGCTGGGTCCAGGTTGACAGGTATTGGCTGGGGCGGTTTTAATAGCCACCATTGGACCGGTATCCGGTTTCTAAAACAAAAACAATAATACATTATTAGATATTTAATAAAGTCCATTAGAATATCACTTACACTTCCATTTGCCTCCTTGCTTCGCTCATTTTTGCCATTGACACTCGATGTCGCCGTGGTCATAGTAATAGCACCGGCATCAGTCATTTGCTTGGGGGCAAATGTCGAAGTTGATGCCATAGCTCGCTCTCAGAGCTGCATTGCTTCTTTTTGACTACCAATACCAATGCTAGTACCATCACCACCAGCTCCACGATTACTGCCAGCACCAAATGTGGTACCATTGTCTTCAAAGGGTAACACCTCTGGCATAGCTCCTTCCATCAGACTGGCTGTATTTTCATTTTGATAACGATCTGGATATAAGCAGGGTCGTCCAGCAGGACCCCATTCCTCTGTTGGCTTTAACAAGAACACAATACGATCTTTGATACCCAAATGTTCGGGTCCATTGTAGATTTGTTTAAAGGCTACCAAAAATATGACCAACACTGGTAGCAGACCAATAACCCACCCAACAGCATCAGCCCACAATGGGTAGACGTATTGTCCATATGAGGCTGGCTTATATTCAACCCAATTGAAGAACAGGATGAACTGGAAAATGGAGGAAGATAAAATTATAAAATGTTGTTTAATACATTCCCCACTAATAAATAGTTGTTTTTTTTTTATAAAAACAACAAACTGGGATTCAGCCTGACTATTTTGCAAAAACAAAATACAAATGGTATCCCAAATAAACCGCCAACACTACTGAAGTTGTAGACGCAGGCACGGTTGAACTGTTTGGTTTGTTGCTGTATACTAGCAACACCAACAAAGTCGTTGTGTGCATTTGTCGCGATGTGACAACACACAACAGTGGGAAAGGTGTGGTATTGTTTGTAAATGCCTTGTTAACCTCGAAGTGAGGCTCCAGCGAAATTCTCATGCAGTTTATGTCGTTGGTCAGCTAAGTACTTCGCTTTGTTACAAGAGATATTTTGGTATGAAAGGTTTTTTGTATAGAAGCAATAGCTTCTGGGGAGAATATCCCAACAAAAAACTAAGGGAACTGATGAGGATCAGTGGCGTGATCCGAAACTATAGTCTTCCCTGCCTTACCCCTCGGCAAACAATGCCATACATTCCCCACTAATAAATAGTTGTTTTTTTTTTTTTTTTTATAAAAACAACAAACTGGGATTCAGCCTGACTATTTTGCAAAAACAAAATACAAATGGTATCCCAAATAAACCGCCAACACTATTGTTTAATGAGGGTAAAAATATATTCAGAAGTCAATACGTATAGTCTTTTGTAGGGTATTGTCAATTTCTTATAGGGTGGTAAATACTATGATTGTAAAACTTATTTGATACAATCAGTAAACCTGGCGACCAATATTGTAGAAGAAGTGTGCAAGGACTATGCCCACAAAAAGATTAAGAAGCTATCTGGAACTAAATGCTACAATTATCCAGAATGAACGGGAAAAATAGAATGTTACAATAGTTGGGTGCCCCTAAAGAAAATCGGGTCCTCAACTCCACTTCCTTAGACGCAGCAGCAAGAATGGTCCCCGAGGAGCAATCCGCTAAACCTGTGACTATCTTCTCGCTCCGAAGTCAAAGAAGGCTGTCCAGAGAATCCATTAACAGAGGGCGACAAGGTCAGTCACAGAATCATCGACATAGCCTGGAAATATAGGTAATAGGAATATCCGGGTAATATGCAGCAAACACTCGTCCGAAGCCGCGATTTTACCAAAAGTAAGCCCAGTGAAGTGAGCAAGGACTATGCCTGCAAGAAAACAAAGAAACTGCTATCTGGAATCAACGGCTAAAATTCTCCAGAATTAACCGAAAAAATAGAATCGTATAATAGATGGGTGTCCCTAAAGAACATTTTGACCTTAACTCCACTTCCTCAAACGCAATGGCGAGAATGCCCCGGAAAAACAGAATGTGCAGATCTTCCCGCTCCAAAGTCAAAGAAGACTGTCCCAAGAATACATTATTTGAGGCCGACAAAGTTGCCTCAGGACCAAGAGTACAAGCACATAATCTTCATTATAGCCTGAAAATCGTAAAAGGCACATCCGGGTAATATGAAGACAACGACAATCGGGAGAAAAAGAAGAAAGAACAAGAAAAACGTGAGCCTAAACAAATCGAGATGTACTGGAGTCAGAATGAAGTCCGAACATTTTATCAAGAACTAAAACACAGAACCGAATAATACCCCAGAACCAATAAGAGATGTCGGTATTGAGTGTATACTATCTAGCCAAGATGAGATCAGCATATCAATTAAACAGCTGAAGAATAATAAAGCAGCAGGTGCCGATGGATTACCAGCCGCACTATTCAAGGCCGGTGGTTAGGAGCTGTTCATGAGGATGCACCAAGTGTTTAGTACAATATGACTTGAGGAATGCATGTCCAATGGTTAGTACCTCAGAATCCTGTGTCCCATACACAAAAAAGGAGATAAGACTATAGGTGCCAACTACAGAGGAATTAGCCTCCTTCCCATCAAATATAAAGTGTTAAGCAGGGTGCTGTGTGAACGACTGAATGCGGTTTCAGACCTGACAAATACTACCACTATAAGAGAGATATTCACACAGCGAGGTGTTCAACGCCTTGTCTGCGTTCTACCTTCTTGCAAAATTCATACGGCTATGCAGGATAACTTTAACTGGCACAAGGTCAGCATTTGAAGTCAGAAAGGACCTCTTGGAGGCCGTCAATACTGAAGAAGGATTCAGAAAATGTGACAGTTTGTCGTGTGACATCCATTTAACATGCTGCTGGAAAAGGTCAAACGAGATGCCAATGTAAACTCGCATACGCCGATGACATCGATATAATGACATTGAATGAATTGAGAAGGAGACTGCCAAAGCCGGACTGGCAGTAAACGGCTAAAAGACCAAGCTGATGATATCAACGCGCAAGACGTCCAGTAGACTCGGATCAACTGCGTAACTTGAGAACTACAGCTTCGAGGTAGTCAAGGATTTTATATACTTCGCTACCGCCTTTAATAAAACTAATGACATCCGTTTTAAAATCCGGAGAAGTATAGTGTTGGCCAACAGATGTTACTATGGTCTGAGTAAGCAATTCAAAAACAAAGCCACCACTCGCTGACCCAAGTCATACTCTACAAGACGCTGCTTCAGATCAATACACCAGCACGGGTAGTAGCTGGTGTATGGATCTAAAGCATGGGTAGTTGCGCAACCAGTTGAGCCAGCTCTTGGAGTGTTTGAGAGAAAAATTCTCCGAAAGATCTTTGGGCCGATCTGCCTCGACGGTAAATATCCCTGTCGAATGAACCATGAGTTGTACAGCGTATTCTAGGACATCGATATAGTCAGGCGTATCGAGCTGCAGAGACTACGGTGGCTAGGTCATGACTTATGGGACAAATGTTCGGTCTCAAGTCAGTTTTCTGTTGGTCCTAAGGGAAACCATGACCATCTATCCACTTTATCATATGCGGCGAGGAAAAAAGGTCTTCGGGTCGAGGACGATTGAAATTCACATACAACTAGAAGCAAGCAGTACTTCCTCGTGTGAGAATTGATGTAAGCTTGTGAGGAAGAAAGACTTTCCACGGTTACAGGATGGAACTGTATTTGTAAGCGGATTGAATAGCGAATTAACAACAGAACACATTTTGGAGGCCTTCGGCTTACAATAAATAAAAATAAAACCAGTAAGGAAAGTAGTTAAGTCGGACGGGGCCGACTATATGATACCCTTCACCACTATGGGTATATTAAACAGGACTATTAGTATGAAATTGGATGAAATAAAATATGTGATATTTATCTAAATGTGAATCTACCTAGATCTATCCATTAAATATGTAAATCGACTTCAAACAAATATAAAAAGGTCATCCGTTAGGCTATGTCTGTACTTCTAGAAAACGCAACTATATAATTTTATGCTCAATTTTGTACGATGTGCAAACTTTTATGTCAATCTGACTAACATGAGGAGTTTGATGCCCAATTTACTTGAAATCGGGCGAAAATATATATGATGCGTCAATTACTTAAAATCAATCTATAATAAAAAGGGCTATATCTATCTAAATCTGGACCGATTTTCACGAAACTTGGCAGCCATCATTCTAGACCTAAATTATTAGCCTGCACCAAATTTCGTGCAAATCGAAAGATATATAGGGACTTTGGGGCACCATTTACATGAAATCGGACGAAACTATATATGGGAGATATATCTAAATCAGGACCGATTTTCATGAAACTTTTCAGACATCATTCTAGGATCAATTAAGTACGTTATGCCAAATTTCGTGCAAATCGAAGGATATATAAGGACTTTGGTGTACCATTTTCATGAAATCGGACGAAACTATATATGGGAGCTATATCTAAATCTGGACCGATTTTCGCGAAAGTTGGCAGACATCATTCTAGGCTCAATTCAGTATATTATGCCGAATTTCGTGCAAATCGAAGGATATATAGGGACTTTGGGGCACCATTTACATGAAATCGGACGAAAATATATAGGGGAGATATATCTAAATCTTGACCGATTTTCTCGAAACTTGGCAGACTTCACTCTAGGCTTAATTCAGTATGTTATGCCAAATTTTGTGCAAATCAAAAGATATATAGGGACTTTGGGGCACCATTTACATGAAATCGGACGAAACTATATATGGGAGCTATATCTAAATCTGGATCGATTTTCTCGAAACTTGGCAGACATCATCCTAGGATCAATTAAGTACGTTATGCCAAATTTCGTGCAAATCGAAGGATATATAGGGACTTTGGTGTACCATTTTCATGAAATCGGACGAAACTATATATGGGAGCTATATCTAAATCTGGACCGACTTTCGCGAAAGTTGGCAGACATCATTCTAGGCTCAATTCAGTACGTTATGCCGAATTTCGTGCAAATCGAAGGATATATAGGGACTTTGGGGCACCATTTACATGAAATCGGACGAAACTATATATGGGAGCTATATCTAAATCTTGACCGATTTTCTCGAAACTTGGCAGACTTCACTCTAGGCTTAATTCAGTACGTTATGCCAAATTTCGGGCAAATCAAAAGATATATAGGGACTTTGGGGCACCATTTACATGAAATCGGACGAAACTATATATGGGAGCTATATCAAAATCTGGATCGATTTTCTCGAAACTTGGCAGACATCATTCTAGGCTCAATTAAGTACGTTATGCCAAATTTCGTGCAAATCGAAGGATATATAGGGACTTTGGTGCACCATTTACATGAAATCGGACGAAACTATATATGGGAGCTATATCTAAATCTGGATCGATTTTCGCGAAAGTTGGCAGACATCATTCTAGGCTCAATTCAGTATATTATGCCGAATTTCGTACAAATCGAAGGATATATAGGGACTTTGGGGCACCATCTACATGAAATCGGACGAATCTATATATGGGAGCTACATCTAAATCTGAACAGATTTTCACGAAACTTGGCATACATCATTCTAGACCTTATTCATTACGCTGTGCCCAATTTCGTGCAAATCCAAACATATATAGGGACTTTGGTACACAATTTACCTTAAATCGGACGAAGATATATATGGGAGCTATATCTAAATCTGAACCGATTTTCTCGAAACTTGGCAACATCATTCTAGACCTTATTCATTACGCTGTGCCAAATTTCGTGCAAATCGAAAGATATATAGAGGCTTTGCTACACAATTTACCTTAAATCGGACGAAGATATATATGGGAGCTATATCTAAATCTGAAAGTGATTCTATACATATTCTCAAAAAGAACCATGGGTCTATCTTGATTATTTTTGCCTGTTACAAACATATGCACAAAGACATAATACCCTGTACCACATTGTGGTGAAGGGTATAAACACTACAAAGACGGGGTTAATAAAGAGATCCATACAGAAGGCAATGATGTAATCCTATAATGACCCTGGATATTCTATAGAGGAGACTGTACAATCAGGAAATCTGCCTTGAACAAACTATGGATGACAATGACGTTTTGGGACAAATAAATAATGATACGGAAACAGTAGAAGACAACAAGAGAAGTCTGCAGTATATCGGGATTCATTTCTCGAAGTTGGGAGGACTACTTAAATGAAATGTAAAGTTTTACAAAAAATTTTTTATTTTCTTCGATAAATCCAACATGACAAAGGAGTTCCCAAAACATTACAATAGAACAGAGCAAACTGAAAAACAAATTCCGCTTCAAATTTAAACAATTTATATTAAGTGTAACTCTTGAAAATATTCGCCTGGCTTGGCAGATTAGTTTATTTTTGCTACAACATCTAGGCGAATTGTTATTTAAGAGGTCAAAGGTATTTCCTGGACAATATGTATATTTTCTCTTACTTACCAATAACGTTGCTGGTGTCACAAAACGCCACATACCGGACCAAAAATAGTTCCACATTTTCGAACGTTTACCAATCATACCTTGGATATCATTTAAGAAATTCTGTGAACCATATATCCAGGCAATGAGAACACATTCGGAGATGGCTATCAATAAGACAGACCAATTGGCTGCGTATTTGTCCATCAACTGCAGCCAATACATGCCGCTCTAGAAGAAGAAAATAAAAAGTACATTAAGACAAATTGTATTTATAAAAATTCACACCCCGACTTACATTTGTGGTAAAGCCCAAGCCGCCAACATAACCAAATATTCCGACAAATAGTACAACCCATGTTTTGTATTGTCTTAAATTTGGAAATTTATCCAAAATGGCAGTTGTAACAGTTTCCATTAAGGCGAACTTGAAGAAAAAAGAATATGGAATAAATAAATCCAAAAGGAATAGAGGGAGTATGGATCTTACCTGTGAGTCCAAACCCAATGTCAGAAGCATGACAAAAAATAATACCGACCAAACGGGAGATATTGGTAACCGGGTAACCACTTCTGGATACACTATAAAAGCCAAGCCAGCACCTTGATCCACTACCTTTTCGACTTCCACATCCAATTCGTGAGCCAAAAATCCAATAATTGAAAATATAACTAAGCCAGCAAAGAACGATGTGGCTATATTACAAAAGGCCACAATGAGAGAATCCCTAGGGAAGAAAATAAACGAAAATATAAATGTAAAAACAAAAATCTGATAAAAATAAATAACAATACGCAGAAGGGGAAAGCCACGACTTCGATAGAAAGATCCAGTGGAAGATATTATGTCAAAACATGGTCTTTCAGATTGGAAATACTGTGTTCAAGACTAACGTGACTGGAAATCATTCTTAAGCTCGGATTATGGAACTAATGTTCAATCTCGAGCCACCAAAGTAAGTAAATAGGTAATAAAATGGGCTAAGGCGGTTTGCTGTGAAAATATGGAATGAGATCAACAAATTTTCGAACAGATATTAAAATTTGATTGATTGACTTTAAATTCGATGGCCACTAAATTTTAAATCTGATTTGATCTGCTTTCATTCCATATCTTAAATATTTAGAATCAAAATCCATATCATTCTCGTATAGACTTCGAAGTCCATGTCCGTTACAAATTTCACAGTTGATTCTATCCACTTTCATTCCAACTCCCCACCTATCTCCTCATACTTACTTGTAACAATTATTCGAAAATTTATTATACGATGACAATGTAATTAGACCACCCCAAGCTGGACTTAAGGCAAAGAAGATTTGTACTGCAGCATCGCCCCAAACCTGAAACGAGTATTACAAAAAAAGTTCCTTTATAAAAAGTAACAATTCTTATATTTCCCTATCTCACCTGGGCATTTGCTAATTGATTAAAATCTGGTGTCAAATAAAATAGTATACCCGTTCCGGCACCCGGCAAAGTAACACCACGGAAAAATAAGATAACCAACACCACATAGGGAAATAGAGCGGTAAAATAGACGACTTTACCCGAAGATTGTACACCTTTACACAGACACAAGAACACAATGGTCCAGGCACAAAACAAACAGGCGGCCAGGGATATTTTTATGGCTCCAGTTTCTTCAATACCCGATGAGAGACCCAATACGTAATTCCTATGAAGAAAAGGGATGAGAGTTATGAAGGATTTTAAATTTATTAAATTGCAACTTACGTGAAATACTCCTCTGCTGGTGGCTTCTTTAGGGCATGCAGCGCCAATTCTGTGATATTATGTTCCTCGGCATAGGTGGCATTATAACATTCCCTCAAGTAGAAAGTTCCATTTATAGAATCGCATTTATCGGCAACTTCGTAAGAAAAGCAATCTGAAAATAAAATTGGGAGGTTATAATTAACTTGGTATTCCCCAAAATGTCCTCAGAAAATCATAGGACAAAAAATGGGCCCTTATGAGATAAATCATGCTGATTCGTCCATACTTACCATACCAGAAAAACGTATAAAAGAGCAAAGAAAATGTTTCAATTTCCATTCAAATACGATACATAGTATCCATCTAATAAGAATGCACTGACTAATAATAAAGTGTTTCTTTGAAACAACCCAAATTCCCTTGATTTTATTTATGAATCGCAACAATCTGCGAGACAAGAGCGTTTTTCTGACACCCAACGTGGCCCCCCTTACATTGGCGCCCAACTTGCAGTCCATTTCAAATATATAATATGATTTACGCATGATTTCTACACAAATATTCTGAAAAGGGAGGCATCTTACATATCCCGTTGGGGGAAATGAAATTATTTAACTGCTTCGGAACTCTAGGTGTCTAATTCCACGCCAAATGTATCACCATAAATATATTGAAAAGGCAAGACTATCAAAATTCTCCGCACTAAAAAATTGCGCTCTCTAAATAAAGTCCACCTGATTTTTATCTTTTAAATGTCTATCAACATTAAAAAGCCAAACATAGTCCGACGGGGCCGATCATACACAACTATAATTATGTTCCTGCGAATCTGTATTCCGAGCCTGAGAAACATTTCGCGTTCTTTGCACTCTCTTGACCAATTAGTAGTCGCAGCTTACTTTCCGAATCATGTCCTCCCAAAGTAAAAATGTACAAAAAATTTTCTTATTTTTATTTTACACAAAAAAAGCTTTGGTTCATTTGACCCGTTAAATGTTGACCGTTTATTACCAAAACAGCCATTCGAATTAGTTGGTCAGATCACTTTCCCCATGGAAAATTAGTGATGTTCGGCTGATAATCGTGGCGTTTAGAGCGACTAGAAAAATCAGATTTTGGGTCTATCATCACCGACATGTCATCTGTTCATCATCGACAAATATAGGCATCGTCCTTGACCATAGGTGGAAACTCAAGCAAAATTTTCTATACATCAGCACTACATTTCCGATCTCCAGGAGATCACTATAAATATTTAAGTACATACATCATGCATTGGTATCAATTTTAAGGTCAACCACTCCTCTTGTATATCCTGTCAACTTTTCGGATCTTTGTCCTCCAGGAGTACACATATTAGCCATGGCATATAAAATTTGTTATTTTTCGCACAAAAGTCTGGCTCTCTAAATTCGATATTCATCAAAACAGTCATGCTTATTCTATGGTCAAACCTATTTCTCTGTGTAAAATTTTGCGATGTTCGGGTCTTAAAAACAGTCAAAACAGTCTAAAAAAAGTTTTTAGTCCAGTTCATGCCAAAAACAATAAAGGTCTAGGGCCAGAACCCTATATGCAAAATTAAATGTAACCTGTATCGCGTTTACATCAATCGGTATACTAAAAGGTGGGTCTAGGAGCATTATTTCGCGGCATTATAAACCCTTGGGCCACATAAAGCTATAATGCCCTTGCACCATAGTTGTGTATGGTATAATTGCCCATCGGGCAAGACCTATTCGAGCCACAAAAAATATTGTCCCCTTCGAGAAATGAAATCTGCATTCGAATTCGGCAGAAAACAAATTGGGTATTTATGATATTTTTCTATCAAATGTCTATCAATTTTATAAACATGGAACCAAAAATTTCTATTAATATTTCGCCAAATGCTGTATCAAAGAAAACGGTTGGAATAAAAATGATGTAGGTATTTCAATCATATTGATTCAGTTTTTTTTCTATTAGCGGACAAGACTTTTGTGTCTCGGAGATCCTGAAATGCATACCACTTCTGTTGGAAATTCGGATAGAATCATTAAAATACTTTGGTACACAATTTTCCTTAAATCGGACGAAAATATATATGTGAGCTATATCTAATCGGAACCGATTTTCACGAAACTTAACACACACCATTCTAGGCTTAATTCAGTACTCTGTGCCAAATTTCGTGCAAATCGAAAGATATATATAGGGACATTGGTGTACCATTTACCTTAAATCGGACGATAATATATATGGAAGCTATATATAAATCTGAACCGATTTTCCAGAAACTTAGCACACATAATTCTAGGCTTTATTATGTACGCTGTGCCAAATTTCGTGCAAATCGAAAGATATATAGGGACTTTGGTGCACCATTTACCTTTAATCGGACGAAAATATATATGGGAGCTATATCTAAATCGGAACCGATTTTTCCAATTTCAATAGGGTTCGTCCTGGGGCCAAATAAGTGACGTATGCCAACTTTGTTTAGAATTTAACATGGACAGACAGACGGACGGACATGCATAAATCGACTTAGAAAGTGATTCTCCGCATATTCTCAAAAGGAACCATGTGTCCATCTCGTTTCCTTTTGCCTGTTAGAAACATATGCCCAAAGACATAATACCATGTACCACAGTGTGGTGAAGGGTATAAAAAGCAAAATAATTTGACAGGTTTTTTGTTAAGCTTGGTTTAAATTTATATATTTTTATTGTTGTATGTTACAATATGAATCTTATGAACATCTATTGTATGCATCGAAAGTGCTGCGATGTATTATATAGCCGGCTATCCCAATTTTGTATTTTCCTTACGGGATAGTATTTAAATTTGTGTCAGATGCCTTTTAAAGCAAATTATCTTTTAATTACTATTAAATCTGTTCACTCCATTTTAGAAAATTAAATTTTACAAAACATTGTAACCATAAATCCCTTCCTCACCAACCAACATTGTTTCCAACAACCTCTTTACAAATATCCCCCAGAACTAACAACTTTTATGGCAATACCCGTTTTTTAAGCAAAAATATCCTTTATTTCGACCTTTTGACCATATGTTATGGTTTGTGTGTTTGTATTGTGGTTAATTTTACATTTTAGATTTCAAACAAAATATTTGGAAAAAAAAGGGCAAACCACAGACAAGCAATTTTCTCAAAAAAAAAAAAAAAAAAAAAAAACTAAAGATGAAACAAGAAAATGAAAACAAACACACGCCATAATTTTAGGGAAATAAAGGTTTTTTTGGTAAAAATTACCAAACATTCATCAGAAAATTATAATCAGAGTAGTAGTACTAGCTGTTTTTTAATGTAAGAAAAAAACAACAACAATGGTAACAACTCACAATGAAAAGTTTCACTTCTATTGAAAATTTTGACATAATAATGGCAAAACAATTTCAATAAATTAGTAAAATGGTTAGGAATTTTTCTAAAAAAATTGTCTTGTAGGAGGGATAATGGGAATTGTGGTCAGGGGTTGTTTTTGAAATTGAAATTTAAAGGATGAATTTTTAATGAAGTAAATAAATGAAATTTTAGAATTTTGAAACTTAATAAATTGTTAGTAAATGTTAAGGAACATTTTTTTTACTGACAGGTGAGCAGTTTTGTGTACACCAAACCAAATTTCCCAGATAATAAACAAATTTGAGGATAAAAAGTGATTCTCTACTGAAGCTGTACAGATATAAAAGGGCATATAAGGGCTGATGAGTCTTTGACAGAATGTATAAGTCATAATGGAACTAAATTTTGAAACCGGAGAAAATTTATATCCATAAAAGAAAATCAATTGTAACCAGTAAGGAAAGTAGTAAAGTCGGACTGGGCCGACTATATGATTCCCTTCACTACTTTGGGTATATTAAATAGGACTATTAACATAAAATTGGATGAAATAAAATATGTGGTATTTATCTAAATGTGAATCTACCTAGATCTATCCATAAATATGTTTGTTACAATGGGACAAAAGTATGTAAATCGACTTCAAACAAATATAAATAGGACATCAGTTGGGCTATATCTGTACTTCTAGAAAACGCAACTACGTTATTCTATTTCAACGAAACTTGTCATAGGTAAGGTAATACTAAATTCAGTACGTTTTGTTCCTATCAGCCTATTGGTTCCTTGGTGCGTCAATTAAAATCAATCTATAATAAAATGGAGCTATATCTACATCTCAAACGTTTTTTACGAAACTTGGCACACAACATTCAGGACTAAATTCAGTACTCTATGCCAAATTTCGTACAAATCGAACGATATATGTGGACTTTGGTGCACCATTTACATTAAATCGGACGAATATATATATATATATATATATGGGAGCTATATCTAAATTTGGACCGATTATCACGAAACATGGCAGACATCACTATAGGCTAAATTCAGTACGTTATGCCAAATTTCGTGCAAATTGAAGGATATATAGGGACTTTGGTGCAACATTTGTTTGAAGTCGGACGAAACTATATATGGGAACAATATCTAAATCTGGAGCGATTTTCACGAAACTTGGCAGACATCACTCTAGGCTCAATTCAGTACGTTATGCTAAATTTCGTGCAAATCGAAAGATATATAGGGACTTTGGTGCACCATTTACATGAAATCGGCGACCTGTACTTTGTTTACAATTTAAGATGGACAGACAGACAGACGGACGGGCATGCATAAATCGACTCAGAAAGTGATTCTGTGCATATTCTGAAAAGGAACCATGGGTCTATCTCGATTCCTTTTGCCTGTTACAAACATATGCACAAATACATAATACCCTGTACCACAGTGTGGTGAAGGGTATAAAAATTACGGTCGCATTCTTAGGCAGAGGTTTTCGTTGTGAAGTATGTTCTATTGTTGATTGTTGGGAGTTGTTTCCATGAGTGGTCCTTTGGATTGAAATTATTCAATATCAACCAAAAAGCAGGAAGTTGGAATTACCCAGGAGATGTTGGACTAAGACCACGAAAGTGTTGACCTGCTTCACCTTTATGACTTTATGATTATGAAGTTGAAACCAACGAGTATGATTACTATCAACACGTATACGCCACCATTTACAATAAAGTTTGTGTAAGTTACTACTGAGTTACTGATGAAATATTTGGAATATATCTCGAAAGAATGTCTTATGACATTGTCTGACAGAAAATTGT